AGAAGACTACGGCTATTGGTAATAGTCGTACTCTTTTCCATCCAATGTGGAATAAGGGACCCAGAAAAGTAGATTTCTGCTTCTGTGGGAGGTTCATATGACAGTGCCCACAGAGCCTCGGCTTCAGGAGACGAGATAAACATGGTTAGCCCCAGGTTAGCTGAATCGTTTGCTCAAGTATTCCGTTCACTGATCAAGCTTTTGTTACCTATTGTGAATAGCTTATCCATTTTTATCGCAGACTGTTTCATCAGCTGGGGTTCACCGACCTCCAATGTTGCGTATCAACTGAAACAGTCTCTGATTATTCTCCGAAGTAGCTGATACTTTTATTTCACTAGCTATTGTTGCCCACCGGTTCTCGCGGTTCTTTTTGAGGATCTTTACGAACTGACATCGTAGACACCACCTGTGACTCTTTTAATCCTGACCGGTGGAGATTTGTCGCTTCATTCTTTATCAGTCTACTGACTAATGAGATCCCAAATGCTTAGGGAGGGAAACACTGGTTGGTTCTCAGAATCGGCTACAACATTAGGAGATAGAAACAAAAACAATGATTTAAGCCAACGTAGTACCAGAGTGAGAAGAAAAAATTCAGTATCTGAAACCTGTCAAGTCGCATGGCTTAACCCAGAACTACAATTAGCTAAAGAGTAATAAGATGACCTCTGATTACATTGCAAATGCACTTTTTCTCTGCGCATCGTAATCCGTAATATATCCAGTATGTGAAAAAATGATCATGCACAGAAAAACCATAAACTATCGTCAAAAACATTAGTCTCGCCAACTAACACTGAATCGCAGAAACTACAGTACAACTAACCGCTATCCATCAAAGTGAGTCAATAAAACCAGTCGTAGACGGTCATCACACCAACAAAACAAAAAACCACAAGCAAACAACCTAAATAAAAAGGAATTCGGTTATTCGCAAGAACCCTCCCCCTCCCGCCAGGCGGGGGTACAGGAACACCGATTCATCGGCAGTTCTAAAGGGAAGCGAAGTCGGCCAATACCAAGGTCCTCTTGGTCAGGTCACCCAGAGCAAACCCGACTAAAGTGAGTGCCCCATAAGGTGAACAGAAAGAAGCGACTATATTCAGGTTACTTCTGCACAGGTTCGAAAGCAAGCATTAAAGCAAAACAGGCTGTGCAGAAACGAAAAACCTTTTGTAGGGCAGATTTGGCCAAGTCAATAGCACTTTCCGGTGGCATACTCATTAATAATTATAACCATAATAACAACACCACGTTGAGTTCATAAGTCCTATCAATAAAACGGAGGACACGATGGCAAAATTTAAAAAAAAACAAGCAAAGAACAATGTCCGCGTGTCAGTGGTTCACATTCGGTTAAATTGAATCATACCGCAGAACGAATATTGGATTGACCGCTAAAACACTGGGCAAAAGGATGTGCACAAATACACGTGAATATAATAGAAATGCACATAATTCAATGAAACAGTATGACAGCACACCCACATACCGCAGTCATCTCTTCCAAATAACGCGGATTGTCCGCATCCAGACCGCTGAGAGCACTGGTGTAGGAAGCTCGAGTACGTTCAACCTCTTTTTCAGCCTTCTTCCATTTCTCCTGCATCTTTTTCAGCTGTTCGAGAAAAAGAAGAATGGGTCGGTAAGGGTGGGAAATTAAGTTCAATGTGAACCAGAGAGTGAAACAGATGAGAGATGGATAAATGAATGATATACCGAAACGACGTGATCCAAAAAGAGCCTAGTCGCTTCACTCAACAGAGCTATACGATGATATTGACACTAAAACTGAAACACTCTGTCTCCGATTTCGAAACAAACCAGTGACAATATGTAACCCATGTTCTTGGTGAACAAACATAACCGGCGACCAGGCGCGGATAGAAATTTAGCGCAAAAGTCGATGACGGTGGTGGCCCGGTAGTAACGTCAACAAATTACCACCCCAGGGATGCGCGTTCGAATCCCACCGCCACCGCCTAACTTTCCTCATTGTGTGTTGAATGGCAGCCCTTTGATTGACCGCTTTCCTCTTCCTGAAAATTGTATCTCTGTATATTCAATAAAAAGGAAGAAAAAAGATCATACATAGAAATCAACTGGGTAGAATAACCGATAGCGGATACGGATCTGCTAATAATGCGCTTAGACTGGGAAACGGTAAAACCTATGATATCAAAAGTGTATCCAATGGTTAATTGTGGATGCATACCTTCTCCAACAGTGAGATCTGCCAAGAAGTGACAGCTAAAGGTCTCCTCGTAGTTTGAAAGCCAAAAGCTGTAGTTTGAAAAACACGAATGTTTTACAAAGCTTCTGAAGTGTAGCGTCCGGCTATTAAACTAGGAGATATTGTGTGTAACGCCATGGTTACTGGCTTATTGTCTGCTGGCTTACTGTTTACCAAATCTTTTGAACGACATTGATGCAGTTAAACAACGGGTCACGTCGGAAGCAGTGTCCAACATAATGCGGTGCGACAGTATAACGCACAGTCAATACATAGAGAATTTGTCGATTGAGTAGCCTGAGGATCGGTTCGCATAAATTACCCTGACCAAATTCAAGGTACTGGACAAGTGATGAATACTGAATACCAACGATGTTTAGATGAAAGAACGTAAAAATGTAAACAGTAATCAAGGGGCTTGACAACGCTTAGGTTTTAGTTGTACGAATATGAGGTAAAGGAATTCATTTTCTATCCCGATAGAGCATAATAGGTCAGTTCTGGGTGTAGAGCTAGTGAACGCTTGTGTCGCTTGTCCGGAAAGTTCGAACACTTGCACCGTAGTTTCTCATAAATTGTGCAAATAAAATAACTTACAGTTCAGCTAGAAAAGACTTCTTAGGTCAACTATCACAGCGGGTAAAATACACAAAAAAGAAATGCCGCGCACCCTATAGCACATTTCGTTTTCACCCAGCTCAAATTGTGCGAAAAACTCACCAAAGACATCAAAAATCGGGTTAATCTGGAGCCCGATCGGGAAACTCTCAGATTGAACAGATCGAAATCAAAGCTGTTCAATTTAGGCTCTATATCAGTTCATAAAAA